CTCTCATCTCGCTCTTTCTCTCTGTCTCCTCTCTGTTTTTCCTATCTGTCTGTCTTCTCTCTCTCTTTCCCCCTCGGTCTCTCCTTTCTCATTTCTTCTCCCCTCCTCTCTCTCTCTCTCTCTCTCTCTTAATCTAATATCTAGTAATTTCATATTAATCATCTATTAATCTATTTTAGGGACACACAAAAAGTTGCATGCTGTTGCTGTGTAAAACATCTCAATAATGTTTTATTTCTCTTAACCTAAAGATGCACTGTGTAACTTTTTAATTGAGGGTCTGTCACCTGCTTGTTTCTATGGATATGTCATTGCTCTGCCTGGAATGTTCCGCAGTATGACATTAAACAGCTCTACTTAACATTTATTCAATTACAGGTTGTTTACAGCTCAAAAATACCTAGAACAGACATGTCAAACTCAGGTACGGGTGCCAAATTTGGCAAATAAACGCTCCCCACACACACACACATACACACTTCACAACACACACACGCACACACACTTCACAACACACAATACTGACCAGTACGTATGAGTCAGGTATTATATTTGGCCCACGAGATCATATCAAATATGTATTAGAGCTGTCCTACAGATAGACTATAAAGACATTATTTATTTAAAATGTTATTATTTTATATTTTTCTTGTTCTGGATTCAATGTTTAAGCAAAATTATTATTAAACATTTATTTTAATAAGAAAAGGTTTAACATGACTTATCTTGAAAGAAGAGAAAACATGCAGATGTTACTGAACTTTTTTCAATAAATATTTAGTTTGGCTCAGGACTTAGTGCCAGTTTTTTATTTTGGCTTCTATCAATTTGAGTTTGACATCCCTGACCTAGAAAAACAGACATTCTGACTGTGAGCAGGGTCGCCTCTCCACAGATCTGACCTGTAACTTGGTCTGGTTTGGTCTCCATGATGATTGAAAGGTTTAATGCCATACTGTACTGTGGAACATTCCAGAAAAAGCAATAACATCTTCATGGAGAAAAGCATTTGACAGTGCCTCCACCTGGAAAGTTACACAATGCACTTTTAAAGATGAACTATGTCACTTGTAATCTTAATAATACATAAAAAAAAAAATAAATAAATAAATAAATAAAAATACAAAAATTGATTATGACAGATTGACCAAAAGTACTCATCACCAAATTTAGTATCACAATCTATGGATTTGTTGATATTTTTAGCACATCTCTTTAAACTGTAAAGTTAAATCTGATATTGTCCCCGTCTCTCTCCCAGCCCCTCCCTGTGCTCGTGCCCCTGCCCCCCTCTGAGCTGACAGGTGCTCTCTGCTCCTGACACCGAGCGATCAATGTCCCTCTCCCCACCAACCTCCGCTCCCAGATAAACCTTTCCTCTCAAAAGATCACAGCTGTCATTTCACCTAAGCAAACTGAACAGAATTTAACATTGAGTTTGAGTAGTTTCTCTTTACATTTCTTTAAGTTTTGCTCTATTTTAAAATTTTGGTGAGGTGTAAACAAGGGCCAGATATTCATAAAAAAATACATGACAACACCTTTATTTTATTTTATTTTATTTTATTTTATTTTATTTTATTTTATTTATTTATTTATTTATTTTTTTATATTTATATATTTAATTTATTTATTTTGTCTACAGAAAAATGAGAACTCTTGCATTTGCAAATTAATTTTTACTCTCCACAGATCTGACATTGTAACTAGACCTGCATGCTAACACACACTTCCTGATTCAGTAAACTAATACACTATGAAACACGTTGTTCTAATTAGATGCAGACATCACTGTGGGACTTATTTTGGGGAGCTGTTTATACATATTTTTGCTTAAATACATGGGGAAAATCGTGCACTGGGCCTTTAATTTTGAACTTTTTCATATAAACCCGAAATCAAACTGTCTTGTGGTAAAGTTGCTGTCTCCTCCTGATGTCTGTGAAGATGTTGGGAGAGACAGAAGAGAGACAGAAGAATGAAGAGTGTGAGAAGAATGTGTGTGGAGACAGAAGAGTGTGTGTGGAGACAGAAGAGTGTGTGTGGAGACAGAAGAGTGTGTGTGGAGACAGAAGAGTGTGTGTGGAGACAGAAGAGTGTGTGGAGACAGAAGAGTGTGTGAGGAGACAGAAGAGTGTGTGTGGAGACAGAAGAGTGTGTGTGGAGACAGAAGAGTGTGTGTGGAGACAGAAGAGTGTGTGAGGAGACAGAAGAGTGTGTGTGGAGAGACAGAAGAGTGTATGAGGAGACAGAAGAGTGTGTGGTGAGAGACAGAAGAGAGTGTGTGGGGAGACAGAGAGAGACAGAAGAGTGTGTGGAGAGAGACAGAAGAGTGTGTGTGGAGACACAAGAGTGTGTGAGTGAGAGACAGAAGAGTGTGTGTGTGAGAGACAGAAGAGTGTGTGAGGAGACAGAAGAGTGTGTGTGGAGACAGAAGAGTGTGTGGTGAGAGACAGAAGAGAGAGTGTGTGAGGAGACAGAAGAGTGTGTGGTGAGACAGAAGAGTGTGTGTGGAGACAGAAGAGTGTGTGTGTGGAGACAGAAGAGAGTGTGTGGTGAGAGACAGAAGAGTGTGTGTGGAGACAGAAGAGTGTGTGTGTGGGGAGAGAAAAGTGTGTGTGGGTCATTAGTGGTGTTGTTCTGGTGAAAGGTGTAATTGGGAGTTTGTTGTTTCAGATCGAGGGGTTGAACCGTCAGAGCTGAAGACGCTGCAGACGCCCACACGAGGAGAGACAGGAAGTGAGGTGAGACATGCACATATTAGGACATATTAGGAGATCAGTTAATTGTTTTGTCGACCAAAATTTATATTGATACTTTGCAGTGAAATCACGCTGGGGGGCTTGTACCTGTATGTCTGTGACTTAATGTTCCACAGTTATTGTTGTAGAATTGTACATCGTCAGCCTGGTCTTAACAAGGACACCTCCAGTTCATTGTTGACATTTCTCTGTGTTTAGCTCTGGAGTCTTCCAACTTTTACAGAATGTGTCCTTTAATATAATCCACTTGTCCACTCAAGTGCTCTGCTCTGCTGTGCTCTTCTCATTTTATCTCGGCGCCTCGTCTCCATGTGTCCAAGGGTGTAGGTTTACATAAGGACGAATGGGGACATGTCACAACCAATATTTGGGAAAGACAAAATATTCCCTACCAATATTTGTGCTGTGGTCCAAAGCAAGAAAGATATCTGATGAAGGCTTTTCTTTGCCGATACATTACTTTGTAAATAAATTAGCTTTTGGACATCGGCCATCTGAGTGTGCTATGCATTTTTTCACTTTTGCCTACCAATATTTGCCATTTTTTCCCCATAATTCAATAGTATTAATTGAACATGTTTGAGTTCACATTTGGTTTATTAGACGTTCTGAGATGTATTCAGTGATATGACGACAGGATTACCCCCGCCGCTGTTTCACTGGCTGCAACAGAGTGATGTCATTAGTGGTGCCAGGTCAGGACTGTGCCAGCACCTAAAGATGGCGGCTTGAGCAGTTGTGAGTGAAGACACTGTGCATCAAACTTAAAAACACTTTACAAAAGGAACTTACTTGGCTTCATATTCAGTTAAACTTGTCTTATAATGAGTCGTAGAGGAAAAAGAGCGACCATCACCACAAGTGCACCTCCCAAACAGAGCCCTAGTCGTGCGCTGTTAGAAGGCAGACTCTACTGACAATATTCCATGGAAAAATATCTGGACATGACCTCACAAAGATTTCATCACCAACAAGCAAAGGGAAATCTGCTACAGACTTCTACATCGCTGTTATCCGCTAAAGAATCATCTAAAGAAGAGCAATGGACACAAACTGAAAAATGAAACCACCTCTCACTTATTTTGGACCTGCCCAGACTCTGTGTGTTTTTGGAAAGAATTAATAAAACAAAGCTGAGACAAACCTACGCCCTTGATGCCGTCCTTCTTAGTTCGTCTTTAAACCTCCTTGTGTGAAAGCAGAGTTGGGCTTGAAAAACCAATATTCAAGTTTATCAGGCCCTGGACTGATGGTAAATAAACTTCTGCCTCAAACTCCAGAGTCTCTGTCCTCTCTGTACAACTCCAAGACTCATTAGGACAACACTCATTTTCCCTAACAGTTACCATGGTGATGTAATGTGTGCATTGTCCACAAATTTATCATATTAATCTTAAAGCTTTGTCCTTTCAGCAGGTTTGGGGTTGAATAATGACACCGCTTTCTGGAACTGTTTTTGGGTTTCAGATAAAAAACAACATTCTGTAGGCCGAACATTAAAGAATACAGATTAGGGGCAGGTTTAATGAATATTGTAAAAATGCAAGAGTATGTTGTAATACAGTGAGTACTTCAGTTTAGTCGTTAATTGAAAATACCAGGTTCAACGTTCGTGCGTTTACCGTTTGGATATTTCATGGCAAAGTTCAGTGTGATCAAATGTAAATCATCACATTCTACAATCTGAAAACCAGCAATTGTGAAAAAAAAATCATTTCACTGTTGTTTATTTGTAGTGACAGAGAAGATGTTGAACTTTGTGTCAGTTTGTTTTCATGTGGTTAGGCCCAGTAATAACAGAGAACCTGAACCTCATGTTCACAATAAGGAAATTAATATTAACAACCATTTGTATTTTTTTTTAATAAGACAAAACCAAATATATATATGAGTTTTTAATGCCATATCACCCAGCCTATTTAATGTCCTCTTTATCCCAGAAACCTAAAACACTGACACATATCCTGCTCACACAGATTTCCTATGAGGTTTGAAAATACTATAACTCCAATAATCAGATCATCCTGTTCTCCGTTTTTTAGATCTTACAACTGGTGCATCCTTCATTCATTTCTCAGTCACTTAAATGAGAGACAGTTCATTTTGAAGCCACAGTTGCCCTGGGGCAGACTTATAAAAACATGACTGCAGATTCACGCCAATGGCTTCTTTGACTTACACTCATTTTTAAAAGGACACTTCAGAATTTTGGACATAGGACCTCATTTCCTAGTGAGCCAGAGTGTTGGAGACATGTGGAGATACTTTTTTAAAATATTCCATCCAGTCGTTGCTATTTTGCCGTAAATTATTCCTTAACTTAAACATTATGTAATTTAACAAATTAACTACTTTAACACATAATTTAAAGATCTTATATTATGTAAATTTGACTCTTGTGAGATTTTGTGTTTTGTTTCATTCACACATGTTTGCGTAATCCTTTATTATTAGCCTGTCTACATCTCCAAAGCTCAAAATGCTCTGTTCCACCTTGTGATGTCACAGTTTTCAAGTTAACAGCTCCTTTTAATTTTTGTTCCGCAGAGATTGGCAATTCCTGAACTGAAATCATCCAAATGATTCTAGTGAAGGTGTATGGAGTTTAAATACGCAAGATTTGTGTGTTAAAATGGGTGAATGAAACAAAACACAACTCCAGGTCTGTTTGTGAAGAGGAAACAACATTATAACATTGATCAGAAAACAGTGTAATCTAGGCCCTTTACATTGAACTTTCCTCAGCCTCCCTCTGACCCTCTCTCAGGCCCTGCCCCACACGTTGGAAACCTCTGACAGTTGTACAAAGCTGTGTGTCTTTATATGGACAAGAGCTGGTACAGACGACATTTCGTTTATGTCTCAGTGTTAACATTACACAAACCAGGACATCTGCTCCGCTCCGAGGAAGTGGAAAAATGAACTGGAAAAAGAACAGACATTTTGAAGCTTTAAAAGAGTTTAATTGGATCATTTTGTGACAGAGTTTGTTAGTAGAACATGCAGGCTTTTTGGATGGAGTCAAATGAAAATCTGGTGGCCAAGAATTAGTTGTTCAAAAGAAAAACAAAACAGGCTCAAATATAGTTAAAGGGGATGTATTTTGTGTGAGATTGTGATGAGATTTGAGAAATACTGTATATTTAAAAAGTTTAAATCTGAGTGCACAATGTAAACAATGAAAGGAGTGGTGTTCAAACTCAATTTCAATGCTACTAATAGATTGGATACCATGGTGATAGTAAAAAACACTCTTTCTTTAGACAATAGAATGTTATTTTCAGCATTCAGTCATAGTACTTACTTTTCTATTTCCATGTGGTCTTATATCTGTGTAATCCTTCAGTGGTCCAGGTACGTTCAATACTTGTTCTCTATTTTACTTTCTCTCTATTTATTGGGTCATTTTGCAGCACTACAGAACAAAACAAAAACAAAACATAGACAACTACCCCATGGTTCTTAACAGAAAGGATCCAAGCTGAAGCAAAACTATCAAACCCTTTTAAACGATGACAGAATTTCAAGAAAGAAAGCAACGTGTGAACAACAAGTTTGCATTTACAGTTTTACTTACGACTTACAGTATATTTTGTTTCTTACATTTACAGTATTTTTCAGACTATAAGTCGCTCCAGAGTATAAGTCACACCAGCCAAAAAATGCATAATGAAGAAGAAAAAACGTATATAAGTCTCACCAGACTATATGTCTCATTTTTTGGGGGGAAATATATTTTATAAAATCAGAGACCAGGAAATGACATTTCATCTTGAAAGGCAAAAGTTACAGTAATAACAATAGAACAGAGACCTGAGGGCTGAATATGCATCTGGTTAACATCACATATGAACAGTTCTTCAGATAACTCTAGCATAAACAATAGAACAGAACAAGTTTACCAAACTCTCCATCTCACTCCAAATTACAAAATCCATTGAATTCTTCATCCTCGGTGTCACTTCTGAGCAACTTGGTGACCTCCAGAGGTAACCAGAGCACCGCTTCCTCTTCTGCGTAGCTGTCGTCAGACTCAGCATCAGTTCCAGTCCAGTGGCCTTTCTGAATCCCGACAGGATGGTTTCGGTGTCACTGAAGTCCAGGCTTTGTCCATCCATCCAGTGACTTCCAGGAAAGTTACATGGTGCACCCTTCTGGTTCCTGTGATGCTGTGTTCTCCATCCTCGCTTTCTTCCAGTCCCTCATAAGTTTCTCACTCACTCCAAACTTTATTTCTGTTGCTCGATTAACGTTTTCAGCTGAATATTTCACTACTTTTAACAGGACAGCGGCTCTTTCTGCAGGAGACATGCGCAGTAGAGCCCAGTGACAGTGGTACAGGAGGAACAGGAGCAGCAGATACTGACACTAAAGACTAGAGCCTCTCGTGACTGTCAGTGTGAACATTTTAATATAAGTCACACCGGAGAATAAGTCACAGGAAACACTCAAACTATGAAAAAAGTTGGACTTATAGTGCGAAAAATATGGTAAATTAAAACAAAATTTAAGGCATAATTCATTCATTCCATTCATTAAACTCTTTTTTTAAAGGCTTCTACAGTGTTAGACTTTTTTAAAATCATCACTCAGATTGTCCCGTATACTAACCCCTCGAACAGAAATACAATCACTACAATCACTTTTTTCTTAGTTCTTATCTTCTTTTTTTTTTAAAGATGCCAGTTTTGATTTTTTTTTTTTCGTTTATGGTCGTACAAACTAATAATAATGTTAACGAAGGCACAAAGGTTTATCGTTTATGATCATACAAAATAAAAGGTAATGTTAAAGAAAATGTAAAAGAAAAGCATGTGTTTAGTTAATAGTTGTGGTTTACTTGTGAAGACAGTGGATCTAGTCTTGTAGGTATTCCTCTAAGATTTTCTGTAAGATTGAATTGTTTTTTTATCAGTTAGCGTCTAATTTTCTACTCTAACCAGGAGCATTAATATTTGAGAGAAGAAATATAAGGTCTTCTTTCTTCTCATTCCTGGAGTTTCGTTTCATCTGTGAGTTAGTAAGGCTTCATATATTCATGGGTTTCAACTTCCTGTTTATAGGAGACGTTTTACCATCGAAAGATATCATTTATTCTCTAGAGTAATGTTTGTACATGTTTATGTTTCCTCCTCAGAGCAGAGTGGGAGCAGTCAGGTCCAATGGCGACCAACAACACGGCGAGTATCGCTCAGGCCCGAAAACTGGTGGAGCAGCTCAAGATGGAGGCCAACATCGACCGGATAAAGGTGAGACCCCCGGTACCCAGAGACTGTTTTTGTCATTAGTCATGTGCTTTAAAGTACATACGTTACACTACGTAGAGCTGGGTATCATTCAGAAGTTGCCTATACGATACATACCTTGATACGATACATAACTCGATACATAGGCCATGATTAGATACATATATCGATACACAGGCCATGATACGATACATAGGTCATGATACGATATATACCTCGATACATAGGCCTCGATATGATACATACCTCGATACATAGGCCATGATTAGATACATATCTCGATACGCAGGCCATGATATGATACATATATCGATACGCAGGCCATGATATGATACATATATCGATACGCAGGCCATGATACGATACATACCTCGATACATAGGCCTTGACACAATATATATCTCGATACACAGGCCATGATACAATATATATCTCGATACACAGGCCATGATACAATATATATCTCGATACACAGGCCATGATACAATATATATCTCGATACACAGGCCATGATGCAGTACATATATCGATACATAGGTCATGATTCGATACACAGGCCATGATACGATACATAGGTCATGATACGATATATACCTCGATACATAGGCCTCGATATGATACATACCTCGATACATAGGCCTCGATATGATACATACCTCGATACATAGGCCTCGATATGATACATACCTCGATACATAGGCCTCGATATGATACATACCTCGATACATAGGCCTCGATATGATACATACCTCGATACATAGGTCATGATATGATACATACCTCGATACATAGGTCATGATATCTTGATACATTGAGTTTTGGTTCAATATGATATATATATCAAATCAAATCTATACGGTTCAATAAAAAAATAAAGGCTTAATCATGGCTGTGATACTAAAAGTCTTTGTTAAACCATTTCTTGTGCTAAGTTCATATGAAATACATTTATTTTAATCATCAAATCAGTGAAAATGTCAAATGTGTCGTATAAACGAGTTTCCTTCAATATTGATACAGCAGCCCATGATATCGATACTGTATCATCATCACATTAAACGACACGATATATTCAATATTTCAATAAGTCTATTTTACAATTTGTTGTTGTGAAGTCTATGATTTTACTTCCTGGTTGTAGATACAAGCATAGATGGAATTTCATAAATGTTTTCTAGCAACTGTAATGTTAAAAATGACACGCCAAAACTTCTGCACCCTCTTGCTCCTGCAACCACTGATCATATACTCCACTTTAGAATTAGATAATCACAGAAGCTGCAATTTTTTGAAGAACCAAAATTTTCTCTAGAAACAACAAAATATCCTGTCTGTATTAAAAACACTGTATTTCAACCTTTAGTTCACTGATAATGTATTTACAAAGTCTCATGGTCACATTTTATGTCGCGCTTTTCCACCTTCAAGGCACCCATCAAGGAACCCCTCACCCATTCACACACATTCATACAGTCAATTATGTGATTAGGTTCTTTTTTCCGACCAAGAGTTTGTTTTCATCCCTGACAGTTTTGATTGGTCACTATGGTCTTCTTCAGAGTGGTCACGTGATGTTGCTGTGACGTGTCGTTCAGCTGGTTTATACAGGTTTTGGTGCCGTCTTCCTACTGCTGGAGGCAGGATGACAGCGCCATTGGCCATCTCAGGTATCTCAAGTATCTCAGGTGTGTGAGAGTAAAAATGCCCACTTGTCCTGGTTTATCGTTCCATGGGCACGTTTCCGTATTTCGATTGCCTCTTTAATCCAAAGACGATGTTTGTTGTCCTCTTTCCCAGTGATGTTTGCACTGTCCATATTGTGCTTCTATCTTTTACAGTGCTCAGAAGTGGATGATTTAAGTTGTTCCTGTTCTGTTTTGTGTTTTGTTGCTCATGTGCACGCCTTCGCTGTTTCCTCTGTCCTAAGCTCCTTTTTCGTGGACTGAACGCCCTGCCTGTTTACTCAGTGTATGTTTTATTGTAGGGCATGCAGGGTATTTTGTATATGACATTACATTTTATCTTTTAAACACATCTCAAAACACAAAGCAGAACAGGAACAACTCAAATCGTCCATTTGTGACCACTATAAAAGACAGAAGCACATTATGGACTGGGACAGAGCAAACATCATAGGGACAGAAGACAACAAACATTGTCATTGGGTTAAAGAGGCAATCAAAATACAGAAACATGCCCACGGGACTATAAACCAGGACGATGGTGCTTTTTTACTCTCACACACCTGAGATACTGTCCTGAGGAAGTGTGACTGCAGGTGGCGCTGTCGTCCTGCCTCCAACAGTAGGAAGACATTGCCAAAACCTGTTTAAATCAGATGAGCGACACGTCACAGCAACATCACGTGATCACTCTGAGGAAGACCGCAGAAACAAACAAACAAACCAAACAAATTTGGCCTGAAAAAATATCCAAATAACATAAATTATTAGAAGGCCAAATGAACCTCATTGGACAAATACAGTCAGTTAATTGAAAAAGAATTGCTGACTACAAGTTGTCTGCCAAAATAATCATTATAGTTGCAGCCATAACACATGAAGACATGTAACACAATTACATTAAAAAAATCTAATTCAGTATACATAGTTTAACTTTACTCTTCATATTGTGGCAGGTTTCTAAAGCTGCAGCAGACCTCATGTCGTACTGCGATGCCCACGCCAAAGAGGACCCCCTCCTCTCCCCCGTACCCGCCTCTGAAAACCCGTTCAGAGAGAAGAAGTTTTTCTGCTCCATCCTGTAATCAGCAGCCCCTCCACACAGGCTCCGGTCTGGGGAGGACTGTCACACCTCCGGACTACAAACATGGAGGATTCTGGAGGAGACGGTGCGGCGGTGACTGCCCCTGCGCTGACAGAGGAGTCTGACGCATGTGGAACGGACGAAATATGGAATCTTTTGGTCTTTTCAGCAAGACGTGAAAAGCAGTAAAGGGTCTTGCAGAGTTGGGATGTGTGTGCGTTTAATACAGACACGTGTTGGTCAGTTTTCATGTTATGGAAAAGTTACATTATTTGCAAAAACTAAATTCAGCAAATGAACTTTAAAGTGTACTTTATAATAAGTACACTTTAAGAAAAGTCCCATATTACAGATCAGGACTAATCAGGTCTAAACCAGGTCTGATCCAGGTCTAAAACCAAATATAAACCAGGTCTAAACCAGGTTTAACTCTGGACTAAATTAGGACTAAAACCAAGTCTAAACCAAGTCTAAACCAGGACTAAATCAAGTTTAAACCAGGACTAGGCCAAGAATAAAACCAAGTATAAACTAGGTCGAAACCAGGACTAAACCAGGACTAAGCCAGTTCTAAATAAGGTCTAAACCAGGACTAAACCAGGTCTAAACCAGGACTAGGCCAAGAATAAAACGTAGTATAAACCAGGTTGAAACCAGGACTATACCAGGTCTAAACAAGATTTAAACCAGGTCTAAAACCAAGTATAAACCAGGTCTAAACCAGGTCTAAACCAGGACTAAACCAGGTCTAAACCAGGTCTAACCCAGGTCTAACCCAGAACTAAACCAGGACTGAACCAAGACTAAACCATGTATAAACAATGTCGAAAAAAGGTCTAAACAAGGTCTAAACCAGGTCTAAGAGAAAAATAAAACCAAGTATAGACCAGGTTTAAACCAGGACTAAACCAGGTCTAAGCCAGGTCTAAATTAGACCAGGAACTCAAAAGCAACTATTTTTAAACAAAACGATAACTGAATTTAAACCTGGACTAAAGCATGAACAAACCTGATCTGAACCTGCATTAAAGCTGTACTATGTAACTTTTATGGTGAAGGATTCACGCATCTGTTATTACTTTCTTGTCATATTACACATTCTCACTCTTCTGATCTGTAGCTTCACCCTGTGGCATCTTCTGCTCGTTTCTATGGAGATGGATACGTTTAATGCCATGCTGCGGAACATTCCAGGCAGAGCTATAACATCTCCATGGAGACGAGCAGATAGCAAACCCTTCACCAGGAAAGTTACACTGTGCATCTTTAAGGATTTATACCATTTCTGTCATTGTATATTAATAACAGATTTGGTTAAGTTTTGATTTTGAGATTTGAACTTTTGAAATGATTGACTTTTTTACAACATAATTCTTCATGAACACGTGTCTGTAGTTCAGAGGAATAGTCTGTGCTCTTTTTGGACTTTGGTTAAACAGTTTGTGGGAGATACCGTCCCCACAAGATGTTTTTTTTTTTTAAGTTTTAAGTTACATTTCCTCTTTCTATCTTTCTATCTCTGTCCTGTGAATACTGAAGAAGAGATGTGGTTTTTACTTGGTTTGCAGCGGCTTTTTAACAGGATTTTTTGAAATTTTGTGATTCTCTTTCCAAGATCTTTCTAATTCTGTTTCTGTAAAAATGTGATTTCTCTCCCTTCAGATACGACTGTCTTTCTAAAGTTTGTATTAAAACAATATCGAGTAAAACGTGCTGTGAATTCTCAGACACGCCTTCTGTTTTTATTTCCTTCAACTGAAAGAAAGTGGGAGCTGTTTTGGATTCACTTAAATATTCTAAAAGGTGAAAGATCTGAGATGATAAACTAGACAAACAGCGCCATCTTCTGGTGTTATCTCTAAATGCAGGAACTATCCTCTGCTGTTTAAATAGATTCATAAATAATGGGTCAGATGTAAGATTTCGTTCAAAACCTCCAAATTATGACACCACCAAATGCTCCACAGTATGACATTAAACTTATCTCCATGGAGACAAGACAGTGACGCCATCAGGCCAAGTTACAGGTCTATGTTTAATGCCATACTGTGAAACATTCTAGGCTACATGTCTCCAAACCTTTCTTTCTCCGGTGAGCTACCTTCTTGGGGTACAGTTAGGTGCCTATAAAGAGTGTTGGGGAGTAATAGATTACATGTACCCGTGTTACGTAATCAGAGTACAAATTATGAGTAACTGTATTCAGTTACAGTTACTGTTTCAGTGAGTGGTAACTTGGATTACAGTTACTTTGTTGAAATAAATGGATTACACGGCGGTATTTTCCTGTTTTCACATTTTTGGCTAAACCAAGACTAAACCCAGGACTAAACCAGGACTAAACCAGGATTAAACCAGAACTAAACCAGGACTAAACCAGAACTAAAACCAGGACTAAACCAGGATTAAAGCAAAACTAAAACCAGGATTAAACCAGGACTAAACCAGGACTAAAGCAGAACTAAAACCAGGACTAAAGGAGGACTAAACTAGAACTAAAACCAGGACTAAACCAGGACTAAAGCAGAACTAAAACCAGGACTAAACCAGGACTAAAGCAGAACTAAAACCAGGACTAAACCAGGACTAAAGGAGGACTAAACTAGAACTAAAACCAGGACTAAACCAGGACTAAAAGCTATAAACTAAAACCAGGACTAAACCAGGACTAAAGCAGAACTAAACCAGGACTAAAAGGACTAGAAACTAAAACCAGGACTAAAGCAGAACTAAAACCAGGATTAAACCAGGACTAAAACCAGACTAAAACCAGGATTAAACCAGGACCAAAAACCAGGATTAACCAGGACCAAAACCAGGACTAAACCAGGACTAAACTATATGACACCTAACAGTAGGGTGGACATAATTGAATGCAGCAGTGACCTCATATACAAATAATATCTCTATCAATAATATTTTTTAATATAGTTAAGGAAATACTTTTTATTGTCTTTTAGCAGACATCTTATGTTCAGATCCTCGTCTTTGCTTCTCTACAGTAAACAGTTGCTTATTCATGGAGACTTGGGCTCAACAGACAATTTGAAGAGAACAAACATGAATTTTCAGGATGTGTTTGCTACATTCACGTCGTTTTAAAAAGCACGACAATATCAAGTAATCCAAAGTATTCAGATTACGTTACTCACTTTAAGTAATTTAATGGATTACATTACAAACTACATTTTGGGGTATGTAATCTGTAATCTGTAGGGGATTACATTTTAAAAGTCACCTTCCCAACACTGACTATAAAACATAAATCATTGTCCTTTTATTAGTGCACAAAGTTTTGCTTCAAAATGATACATGAACAGTGGTAATTAGGGGTGTCCAAAATATCGAAACATTGATATATCGTATCGTTTAATGTGATGATACAGTGTTGCTGCTGTATCGATATATCGCTAAGAGTATTTTTTGTTATCTTTTACTAAATGATTTTATTACAGAGCTACACTTTTGTTGTTTGTTTAGAGGAAGGAAACTAGTTTGACACATTTGATATTTTCACTGTTTTTGATGATTAAAATGTTTGTGTTTCATATTCACTTTGCACAAGAAGTGGTTTGACAAAGACTTTTAGTATCACAGCAACGATTTAGCCTTTATCTTTTATTGAACTGTACTGAATCAATTTGAAATATATCGTATTGAATTGAAAGCGGAGTGTGTATTGTATCGATGGCAAGGAGAAAATTCAGTTTGTCGACTGGACAAAAGTTAGTTTGGTTGAAGATGTTTCGCAGTTCATCCAAGCTGCTTCTTCAGTTCTGGTCAGACGCTGGTGGACACTTCCTTATATCTGCAGGGAGGAGCTAACTAACTGAAACTAACACACTACTTGTTTACAGTTTCTGTTTGTTAGTTCGGCCTATTGACCTGTACAGGGTGTGGAGACTAATTAACAGAACAATTCATGGCCATAATGAAGCTTCCACACCTCTGGACCTGACCTGACTACACCTGTTGTTCTCTTGTTTGTTTCGATTTAGGTTTGAGGATGGAGTTGTAAATAGGAGATAGATGGTGTCTGAGTCCATTTCTGTTTAGAGAAGAATTCTCTTTCTTAACAAAAATGACTTCTTTCACTCCCCTCTCGAACCAGTTCTTTTCTCTGGCTAAAATCAGTACCTCACTGTCCTCAAATGAGTGACCTGTGGCTTTTAAGTGGAGATGTACATCAGACTGAGGTCCTGTGTTGCTCTCTCGTCTGTGTTGGTTCATCCTCTTGTGAAGTAGCTGTTTAGTTTCTCCAATGTTGGGTTCACTGCTGTCTTCACTGCACTGAATGGAGTAGACCACATTGCTTTGTTTGTGGCTCGGTGTTTTGTCCTTGGGGTATTGTGTATTGTATCGGCAACTTCTGAGTGATAAGCAGCTCTACTGGTAACAGGCGTGTAATGAACCACAGTTCTGTTTTTCAGCACAGTGGTATAATTCCAAAATCCTTTGGTGAGCTACTTGGAAGGGGGTGGAGAGCTACTGGCAGCTCTCGAGCTACAGGTTGGAGACCCCTGTTCTAGGCCAAGCAATAACATCTCCATGGAGACAAGCAAGTCGTGGAACCTCCACCAGAAAAGTTACGCAGTGCAGCTTTAAGGTAATGAAGCAGGTGTCAGTGAGGGTCTGAGTGGATTTCTGGTTGTATTTTAAAACAAAACAAATGTTTACAGATGGTGAGCTGCAGAGGGCGCTGTAGCACTGCGAGCTGTGATGTGTGAAAATAAGGCGTGTGTTTCAGAATGACTCATACAAAGTAAATGAGCGTTATTACATTATCAGAGGGACACTGTACTGTATCCATGGTGATAGTCACAAAAAAGGATTTCTGCTATATCTTTTATTTATATTTTTAGATCAATACTCAGGGCATTTGTGATGTATTTTTTATTTTTTCAGAATCAATAGGTACATTTATTATTAAAAGAAGAGAGTAGATTTGAGCTGATCTGTTGACCTGGTTTATGGTTAAAGGTCCATATCAAGCTACTTTAGGATCGATGTTCTAAAGTTTCCTCATCACAAAAACAGACCTGGAGTTGTGTTTTTGTTTCACTCACACATGTTTAACACACAAACTCTGTACAATTAGGCTTCTCTCAAACAGAAAACACTCTGTTCCACCTTGTGATGTCATGTGGTAATACAGGAGTATTTAACCTCCACACACCTTCACGAGAATCATTTGGATGATTTGAGCCCTGTGATTTATGTTATCAGGTTCTTTTTTTCAGATCAACAGTTTGTTTTGTTTTTATACCTGACAGTTTGGACTGTTCACTGCTTCCTCAGAGTGACCTCATGATCTTACTGTGACATGTCCGACGGGACTTCAACAGGTTTTGGTGCTGTCTTCCTACTGGAGGAGGCAGAATGACAGTCCAACTTCCTCAGGACAGTAACTCAGGTGTGTGAGAGTAAAAGAAAGTCTCCTCAACCCTGTTGATAGTCCCATCGGCCTAAACCAGGTCTAAACCAGGTCTAAACCAGCTCTAAACAAGGTCTAAACCAGGTCTAAACCAGGTCTAAACCAGGTCTAAACTCTAAACCAGGTCTAAACCAGGTCTAAACCAGGTCTAAACTAAACCAGGACTAAACCAGGTCTAAACCAGGTCTAAACCAGGACTAAGCCAGGTCTAAACCAGGTCTAAACCAGCTCTAAACAAGGTCTAAACCAGGTCTAAACCAGGACTAAACCAGGAAACTAAACCAGGACTAAAACCAGGTCTAAACCAGGTCTAAACCAGGTCTAAACCAGGTCTAAACCAGGTCTAAACCAGGTCTAAAACCAGGTCTAAACCAGGACTAAACCAGGACTAAACCAGGTCTAAACCAGGTCTAAACCAGGTCTAAACCAGGTCTAAACTAAACCAGGTCTAAACTCTAAACCAGGACTAAACCAGGTCTAAACCAGGTCTAAACCAGGTCTAAACCAGGTCTAAACAGGTCTAAACCAGGTCTAAACCAGGTCTAAACTAAACCAGGTCTAAACCAGGACTAGACCAGATCTAAATTATAAAAATTATATCAACTATTTCAAAACAAAACTATAACTGAACCTAAACCTGGACCAAAGCATGAACTGGGTACAAAAAGCCAAACTGACAGTCCTGTGGGCACGTTTCTGTATTTCGATTGCCTCTTTAATCCTGCGATGATCTTTGTTGTCCAGCCCTGGAATTGCCCGTCTCTTCTGAACAAAAGGTCAAAATTTCTGTTCACTTGAAAACTATTGCTTAATGACATCACAAGGTGGAACAGAGCATTCTGAGCTTTGGAGATGTAAACAGACTAATAATAAAGTGTTACTCTAACATGTCTAAATGAAACAAAACACAACTCCAGATCTGTTTGTGATCTTTATAACATGGCTCAATGCTCCAAGAGTCAATTTTGTGTAATATAGAACCTTTGTTTCACCAAAAACATTTTACTTGAATAATTTATTGGACTAACTTTGTACTTTTGCTTGAGCAGTAATATATTATTGAATACAATGTTTGTCTACTCTACTCACAAAAACTTTACAAAAGGACCCAACACAGAGAGAAAGCCCAGCTGTCTGTCTGTTACCGGGAATTTTAATTTGTTTTTTAAATATGAGTTTCAGAGGACAGGAAACAGATTTGCCCTCCTCTCCTCCTCTGTGAGTTATGTAATTTTCTTCAAAGTCCTGCTGCTTCTGACGCTCAGAGCTGGACACCTTTTCCACTGAAGCGT